CTAATATTAGTATTTTTTCAGAGTGAATAATGAAAATGTAAGAGTTTAGTTTAAGTATTTTTGTAAATTGAAGTTATTTGTAATAAATATTCTAGAGAACTAAAAGATTATTTATTTAAATTCTTTGATTTTTGTATTTTATCAAATAATTAACATTTGATTTTTATATATTTAAGTACTATTTAACTTAATATTAAGACTTTTTTTTTATAAATCTGTTAAGTTATTACCTATTTCAAAGTAAGGCATCTAATTGTAAAATTTTAATATTTAACTAACCTACTTATTTTATAAACTATTAACAAGGTTATTATCTTTGCAAAGTTTATTTGAACTCTAATACTAACTTTATAATATATTTTAATACTTTAATATGCCTCTGTTTTGTTCTTAGACTTCCAATTCTGATAACTTAAAAAGACTATAATCTGGTTTTAATATATTGAATTCAGTCTAATATTTCTTTTTTCTGATTTGAAATTCAATAACCTGATTAGTAATACCTTTATTTAAAAATCCTTATCCATCTGATTTCTTCATGTTCTAAGTTTAACCTTTACAGTAGTAATTTTATTAAAAGAAATATTATATTATGTAAGGTTTGTTAAATACTTATTAATAAACACCTCTCAAAACTCTCTAATATAAATTTAATTGTTTTATATAAACTTACACTCTAATTCTAAAATTTTAAATTTAAAATCAAATTCACTTATAGAATATATATATAAATTAATAACAAAAAAATTTAAGGTACAGATATGGTCACGGGCATTTTTTGGTTTGGCTTAAAAATGTCTGACATTTTTGTGCCTGGCGCTCTTGTGCCTGATTTCATATTTGGCTTAAAATAACCAGACACGCAGCCAGACCTAAAGTGCCAGACACTATTAAACAAGTACCGAGCATTTTCTTAGGCATGGCACTAAAGTTCCTGGCGCTTTATTAGACCGGCACCTTTGTACCTATGGCACGGGCATGACATAGGTATTAGTGCCCGGCATGATGCTTAATGTGCCTGGCATGGGCACATGCAGAACTCTACTTAAAAGTCTAACCTTGCTGTGCTATACTTATAGTCGTCAGTGTAGTGTCACTAAAAGTACTCATAGAGATGTTTTAAGGCTAGAATCTGAGGTACTTACATTTATTGTATCTACCACCAAGATGTTGACGCATTTTTCAACTCAACGCTAATGGCGAAATTTTTTAGATTTGTAACGCTATGATCCTACTTAAAGTGACAATTTAGCATAGTGCTTAGTGTTCTGAGTTGGTAAAAAATTTTCCAATCAATTAGTTGCCAACTATAGTTGCAACTAATCGATTTTTCCTATCATGTGACTATATTTGTTGGTTGGCCAATCAAACTAAAGAAATCAACACGACCAGCCCGAATAGACAGAATATCTCAGAATAGAGTTCCATTTATCCATATGAGTGCATGAGAGTGAAAACCCGTAACCAGCCATAATAAATCATAAATGTATTTCTTGATTTTCACTCTCACGTACTCATATCTGAATTTATCCAGATATCCATTTACCATTGATATCCGGATAAACCGACAAATATATCTGGATATCAATAGTAAAACGGATATCCGAATAAATTCAGATCTGGATATCCAATAGATAAATGGATAAACGGATAATGGATAAGAACTCTATCTCTAGTTGATGATTTAATCGATAATCGATTAGTTGTTTCAAATCGATTAGTTGGACTTTACACATAACGATAAATATACGGATATGTAATTCATGTGACATCACAAGATAATATTATGAAATATATAAGATGCTTCAGTATATTACATGATTGCAAGAACCGTCAACTAATCCCACACATGGTGTGCAGCACATAAAAAATTCAGCTAGTCCATGCTACAGTTATAATCCTTCACCTGTTGAATTAATCGACGGTTCCTCCTGTTGATTGCAAGATCCATATCAACTTCCTATAAAATTATAATAGTAAACTTTTTTATGAAGATAAGGCTATACAAAGTTGATTTTCTGGTTCTCATAAAAAAATGACCCGGCAGGCCGGGTAAAAATTTTATATAAAAAATTTTTTACATAATTAAAATTTTTTTAATTTTTTTAATTTTTTTTGTATATTGACAAAAAAATTTAATTATATGTAAAAAAAAAAAATTTAATTTTAATTATTAGAGAAAGTGACCCGGCCGGTTATGAGAACCAAAAAAATTAACTTTGTATAACCTAATATAGATTACTTCAGCAGGATACGTTATATTTAGAATTAAAAAATTTATATAAAAGTTCATACATGTTAATCAATTGAATTTTATAACTCGGTCAATAAGGAAACCCAAAAAAATCTTTTAATTCATTATACCTAAAAACTTTTGAATGGGCTTTATATAAAAATCGAGAGACAATTAGCGAAATACATATCGATATCCATTAAAAGAACAATTAACTTGCGTGGTCTAATGCTTCTATTATTGCTTTCAAGTTTATAATTTATTTTTACAAAATTTCTCCCTGATCAGATATGGTTACTATACGCTTTCAAAGACAATGAATGAGTCGGCCAGTAAAGCTCATAGATAGAAATAACGGTAGAGATATATTGGAGCATGATCCAATAGCAATTAATGTCGCGGATCATAATGAAATCGGATTAAAATGAAATAAAGGATTTTTATTTGACCCTCTAAACCCCACTTATACTTCTAAACCCTACTCCTAACCCTAAAAAAATGCACCTCAAAAAATTGTATTTTGTCTATTTGACACTAATGTGAATTTTGCCCATTTCTAGATAGAAGTTTGCCTGATTGGCTGGCATAAATCAATCGCCCGGGTAATTTATTTATACTTTTTGAAAATATAGCGCTTTACCAATAATAATTCACCGCAAACATTATCAATAGTTTTAAAACAAAATCTCGGTAAAATTAGTCCGCGTTAGGTTAGCATTGGCAGTCAATTTTGTTTGTCGGGATTTGATATACTTAGAAGACAAAATATTCCACTTATAATCAGACCATATAGTCAACTGATTACGTAAAAGGTACATACGTACCAAACCGGAAATGTTTAAAATTGGTTTGTTAAAGACTGTTGTACTATTATATTCAAGTAAACTTTACTACCGCTACGTATTAACTGTTCAATTTTGGCAGTACAGTCGACCCTCATTAATATCAACTTATTTGGATTGGATTGATTATATTAAAGTTGATATATATGAGGAAATTTTAATATATAAAAAAATTTATAAAAATTTGGGTTATAGTCTAGTTGATATTCATGAGGAACGACTGTATAAACTTAGCGTTAGTAGTGAAAGATACGTTTTAAAACTTAGTTCTTGTGTATTTTGGTCTGTTACTCGTTGATCTATAAATACTGTATTACAGCTGTTTCATAAATTTTTGAGACAAATAAAAAAATTGCCCGGTTGGCGGAAAATTTTTCTGATTTATGAAAACAGCCATAACTAGGCAATCTGCACAGTGGTCATTGCCGGATGGCATGCCTTTATTATAAACTTATTTTTGTATAATCTGATTGGTTAAAAAAAATTTGATAATATCTTTTTTTAAAAAAAAATTTTTTTTTTACTATATATACTTATAGTATGGCATGCCAGGGTGGCATCTTGGCATGCATTTGCTAAATGGCATGCCAAATGATTTTAGGCGTGCCAGGTTCCCTAGCCATAACGAGGTACATAGTGGGACTGGTTTAGTAGCAAATATGTCTTCTTTTGTATTCTATGTATATTTCCATATTTATTTACATATTACATTTATCGATTCATATAGACTTTTTCTCTGTTTTCTAGCAATAATCATAAAGAGCGAATTTGAAAATTATTTACTGTGAATGGCGGGATGGCAAGGAAAAAGATTTCAATCAGGTGATATCGAGATTTACGATCTAAATATTTGTACGTACGCACTGTACTACAATTTATATAAATATCACCTGATTCATTTAATCGTTTTTTCGATGTTTTTTTTGTCACAGGAAACATTTCACCGATTTCAAAACCTATAATTGACGTATAGTACAAGGTTGAGAATTTATATCGTAGTAAAGTGCATACATACCTTCTATTTATAATAAGCAGTCTAGATTTTTGATTTAATTCGTGTATAATAGTTGGTTATTAAAAGGGTAGGCTAAAAAGCGGTATAGTAATTGGATGGAATGAATAAACAGGCAAACTTATACGTAGTTAAGCTAATGCCGGCTAACTTTGTTGGGATTAATCCTTTCTGTTTCCATATCGATATCTGATGCTAAAGTAAATTTAATTACGTATCATATATGTGGCTGGTCAGGGCTGAGTCCAATAAATAATAAACTTGAAAGCCAGAAGACCGATTTTCTCCCTTACGTCACTCATTTAAAATTTATTTATAGCAGATATATAACAATTTAAAATCGTATTTGGTTATGCAAACAGAAAACTTAGCGCTAGAAATCTGCGAATTTTTAATTATTTACGTCAATTATGATAAAAATAGCTTCTCCATCAAAAAAAGGTAATTGGGTCAAAAATGATCGTATGTTGGCTATATAGAGATATTAAATGCGTCGTTTCCGATATCGTAACGTAGTGCATATTATATAAACTCCGTTCCGACCCGTTCTAAAATCATAGTATTTCGGGAATATACGGACTACTTTACAATTAAAATCACACCATATTTGTTTTATTGGTGGTATGATTTTATTTTAATAAATTATACCAATGAGTGCATAATTGACGTTAATATTACGCCGTACTTTTCCGATAATCATAGGTTGCAGTGATCGCCATTTATAGTAATTCTGTTTATTGTTTGTTAGCTGTCAATTTTACAATACTTATTTATGTGATGCATTCTACTTTCACATCGACAAATTTATTGTATATAAACGTCACTTTTCTGCCCTTTTCTCTTCAAATTTCTCAACAGGATTTTAATTTTAACACTGATATCAATTATAATACCATACAACTAAATTTCCACAATGTCGCCGCAAAGAAGAGTTGAAGAAGAACTTCACGAAAATGCACATATTGATTATAGTCGTGTTTCCATCACATGGAATCCTTCAGTTGCTCAATTATACGAAGATGCCTTGAAATATGAAGAGGGATCCGCCATTTCTTCGACTGGAGCCCTAGTGACGGCTTCTGGTAATAAAACTGGTCGCTCTCCTAAGGACAAACGTATAGTTGACGAACCTGGTTCTTCTAAAAACATTTGGGTAGGTTTTTCACACCTTGATTTAGAAGTTAATAAATACTAGCTGTGTTCCACAGAATCGAACCGAAGACCTGGTACAGAACCGAACTGGTTCCTGGTTCTAAGCACAAGTTTTTTCAGATTCGTGATCTCTAAAGAACCGATCCGTGCGGAACATTACTAGTGTTCTTCGCTGACTGCCACCGGATTTATCCAAACAATGTGACAATTAGTCTACTAGTTTGGGCAACATCCTTAATTTTTATAAATCATGTGATCCAGACATTTTTTGATTTTAAAATTCATATCGTTTTACAACATAGTGGGGTCCCGTTAATACAAAGTTACCCGAGCATGTCTTTCTTATTAACCGTGAACGTGCCGTTGATTATTTAAATACTCGCAAGAGAATATACGTCTTTGATGGTTTTGCTGGATGGGATCCCAAATACCGTATCAAAGTTCGTGTTATATCTGCTCGCGCCTATCACTCTTTGTTCATGCGAAACATGTTAATCCGTCCTACTGAAGAGGAACTCGAATCTTATGGCTCGCCTGATTTCACCATTTACAACGCCGGAGCTTTTCCAGCAAATCGTTATACCACTGGCATGACCTCGACTACTTCTGTTGCCATTAATTTTCATATGAACGAAATGGTCATTCTAGGTACAGAGTATGCCGGTGAAATGAAAAAGGGAATGTATGTATAATCTTTCTTTTATTGCCATTAGTTATTATTATTATTATTATTAACAATAACTGATCAAATTTATTTTTTTTATAGATTCAGCGTAATGCATTATTACATGCCTATTAAGCACAATGTTTTGTCATTGCATTCTTCTGCTAACGAGGGCCCCGATGGTGACGTGTCAATTTTCTTTGGTCTATCTGGAACCGGAAAAACCACTCTCTCGGCTGATCCAAAGCGTTCGTTAATCGGTGACGATGAACATTGTTGGTCAGATAATGGTGTTTTTAATATTGAAGGTGGTTGTTATGCAAAATGCATACACTTATCTCCCGAAAATGAACCGGAAATTTTCCATGCCATCCGATTTGGTTCAGTTTTGGAAAACGTTATCTATAACCCTCATACTCGAGTTGTAAACTATGATGATGATGCATTGACAGAAAACACGCGTTGCGCTTATCCTATAGAATACATTCCTAACGCCAAAATACCATGTATTTCATCAAATCACCCCAAAAATATCATTTTATTAACTTGCGATGCTTATGGTGTCCTCCCACCAGTCTCCAAACTTACTTCAGCTCAAGCTATGTACCACTTTATTTCTGGTTATACGGCCAAGATTGCAGGAACAGAAGATGGTGTTACACAGCCGGAAGCTACATTCTCAGCTTGTTTTGGTCAACCTTTCCTTGTACTCCATCCAGCACGTTATGCAAAAATGTTGGCCGAAAGAATGGAACTTCATTCAGCCGACGCTTGGTTGGTTAATACCGGATGGAACGGTGGCGCGTATGGTGTTGGCGAACGCATAAAGCTCAAATATTCCCGTGATATTATAGATGCCATTCACTCTGGAGAACTTGCCAAAGCTAAATATGAACTTTATGATGTCTTTAATTTACAAATTCCAACATCATGTACGGGTGTTCCATCTGAAATTCTAAATCCTTCAAAAACTTGGAAAGGGTCTGAAGAGAGTTATGTTAAAACTCGGAATTTACTTGCCCAAAGTTTTATTAAAAACTTTATGCAATATGAAGACCAGGCTTCACCCGAAGTTTTGTTGGCTGGTCCAATGCTTTCCTCAGCTTGAAAGTGCAATAATACTTTATTAAAATGCAACCATTTGATAAATAAGTCGCTAAACTTTTTTTAATCATTCTGGTCATCGCTTTATTAATTAATACCTTAACAAAAGAGCAATTTGTAATTATAGCAATAATTAATTTTTAATTTTAAAATTATTTATTTAGATGCATATTTTGTAATTCCACTTTAAAAATAAAAAAAACTGTTTTTTGTTTGTGTCAATTTTATGTTTTTATCGATACATATAAATTTTTCAACGATTAAAAAATAACTCGGATAGACTTTTAATTCGTTTCTCTTGACGAAATAAAATGATCGACATCACGTAAGAAAACGTGACGCGCATTTAAAAATTTACGACTGTAAATGTCAAATCTGATTCTTCTATGCGTGGTAATTCGACTTATAAAAATGTTTTTTATTTGCGGAAGGAACTTATGCACAGAACTACACTACAGCTCCTATACTTGTAATTAGTGGTCATCCAGACCATTTAATGTTTTCGCTTCTGTTTCGTATCAACTTCATATGCACGTTAATATTTTACTTGACCATCTCATAAGAGTAGTTCAAGATGAAGAAATAGATTGCAATTTGACTTTATTTGTATTAGTGGTAATGAAGCAAGCAAAGGTTGCTTAACGCCTTCCAGGTTATTGACAGCGAGTATTACATGATTTTTAGAAAGAAATAGTATTACCTTATCTCATATCTATAAATTGAATAGTATGACATTTTTTTTTTTTTTACCGAAAGTATCAACGCTAATCGGAAGACAAAACTCTCTCCCGTAGATCCTTTTTTCATAAGTAAAATAAAAAACAACAGATTACGACTAGGCATATTTAAAGTTTAGTGATATCACAACTAAATAAATAATAATTTATAACAATTATAACAGATAATCTTTAAAGATTAAATGAAGTAGAGAAACAGTTTTTTGCATTTCAGTTTTTTTTTTTTTAAGGTGATGTTTTGCTCATATTTTTATTAATTTGTTGAAAAAGTCTTCAAGGATTTTTTTGTATATAAATTACAAACTTATTTCAATTATTGGTCATCTCATTAAGCATGATACACCAACTTGATACATTTGAATTAAAATATAATTACACAAAATTTTACATA